GAGATAAAGTTGTCGACCAGCAAGACGGCCATTTCGTGTTACCATAGGCCTACCGAGGTTCACCCCATCCAGCTACCTCAAGCCAGCTACTCTACCAGCTTCTACATTATTCACTGGTCAGTCTCTTTGTATTAGTGGTTTATCTGCTTTTGCATTACTCCCGAGGGGTTGACCCGAGTTTGCAAAATAAGCCAGCTTCCAGTCTGTGGTGGGGGAGTCAGAACACCCGAGTCCAGTCCAGCCTAGCCTACTCCATCCAATTATTTTGCCTGCCAAGCCAGCTTCCACCCCTGCTGTGCTCATCGTGTGGAGTTATCAAGCTATTCTGTGTGAAGGGTTAAGATAAGCCAGCTAGCAACTAACCCAGGTGTCTTACCCCAGTACTCAAGCAAGCCACGTGAGTAGCCTTCATCGCTTGTGATTCAAGTTCCAAGCATTCTGAGTGCTCCTTGTCATCCTTGTGGTGTTGTAGTATTTCGTGGGTTTATTTTAAGCCAGGCGGCAGTGTGGGTGTTCTCAGTGAGGCTTACGACGTTCAACCCATAAGCCCAGCCACTCACGATCACGTGTGTCGCACCATTGCCGGTCTCAGACGCCTCGCTCAGCCATTAACCCACAAACCCAACTACAGTCGGCCATTACAACTCACCTACCTCATCAGTGTTTTGGTGCACTGCTAAGGGTTGTAGCACCATATTTTAAGGACCACATAGGGGGTCAAGAGCTAGAGTGTGTCGCGCCATCTTTAAAAGCCTCCTGTGTGTTGTCTATCGCCGATTTAAGCGCAATTCTACGATCATCTGTGCAGAGGACAGCAGCAAGACGATATAAACAATCCATCAATCTCATTTTTCAAGTGTTACAGCTATAATATTTTTTTTTTGAGACATTTGCGAGTGTTGAGACAATTCTTTTGTGTTCCCAGTGAATTTTTCTCTTAGTGACATTCAGTGACTCTTGATCAGACTCTGTTTTATCATGTACTGATTGCATTCATTTCTTTTAATCTCCTTAATTCAGTGTTAATTTTCGTGCATTATTGTATATCTGTTGTGTTGTGTATCTTTTTATATACACTTGAAGTAAGTACTTAGTGTTTCCTTTGTTGTGTGTGCAACATATGAGCAGTATAGAACTTGTGTTTAAACTTCAGAATTCCAGTGAATTAATTCAGTAATTTTCACCTCATATTCTGCATCACAACTCAGTGTTGTCTGTTATTTTCTCTTCCCAGCATTTGTGTAATTTTTATTTTTGTTCCCTGTGTGTTGAACATTCTTGTGTTCATATTCCTTTATTCAGCCAGTGTTTAATTGTCTTATTTCCACAGACAATAGTTGCCATTTTTAAAGTCCAGCAAGAGCTCACATTTACAAAATTTTTCACACATCAAGTTTCATTGCAAGAAAATTCTAGTACTGTGTTTATATTGATGTTTTGTGTTCTGCATCACTGTAAGTGTTGTATTTCTTTTTGTTGTGTGTTTTTTTTTTTTTTGCACCTATTATTTTTTTTCATATTTTATTGAACAAATTCACTCTTATTGCAATTTTTAAGTTCCCTTTTAAAGTAAATGTTCTTTTGCTTGTTGTTTAAGTGCAGTTAAGAGTTAAAGTGTTCATTCCTTGATATATTCTTTTCTTGTGTGTTATAATTTTTATTATTGCACATAGACTCATTTTGCAATAATTCTTGTGCAAATATTGTGTTGCTATTAAAGTTTTTTCTTGCAGAAAATTTTATGCAGTGTTGTGCAATACAGTTTATTACAGTGCAGTTTCTTATGCTCTGTTCTGTGCATAGTATTTTATTCTGTCTGTCAATTTATTTTATTTTTCAGTGAATTGTGTGTTTGTTTTAATTTTTGCACAAGTTTATTGAGTTCATTTTATTATTTTATTGTGTATTTTCCTTGTTGCATTGAAAGTAAAGACAACTCACTGTGCCATTTATTCAATTTAAAGTAAAAGTTGAGCATATTAGATTGGAGCAAAGTACAAGTTCTCTTGATTTTCAGTGTTTGTTAAGTTGCACATTTTTTTTTCTTGTGTGAGTTCTTTGCTTACTGTGTAACTTGTCAATTTTTAATTACTTATGCAGAATAGTTAAGCATTTTTTTCCATTTAAGCTTACTGTGTCATTCTCTCTATTTTTTTTTTTTGACTTATGCCCTTCAGTATTTTCACTGAGAAGATGTCCCAGTCACTTTTGAACGTTCACTTAGTGTATCATTCCAGTCAAAGTCAATATGAATTAGTCCACAGTACCAAAATTCCCTTACTGACTGAAAGACAATACCTAGCCCTTGAGCAATGTGTTTGTTCTCACAGCTTGTATTTGAGATTTGTTAAAGTGCTGCGAAATGTGAAGTTCAGATTAAGTTCCTATAGATCCATGAATTACTTATTAACGTAGCCGAGCGGTCAGGCACTAGTAATTCTGTCACTCCCATCTGTGTTCCACCTATACCTTCAGACTTGCAGGATAGTGTTCCATTGCCTCAAGTGTCCGGGGACACTCAGACTGCCTTGAGTGCACAGCCTATCCCTGCAATGACTGCTAGTTCGAGTAGTAGTTTCTCCACAGGGGATGCCTTGTCAGAAAACGATTACTTGCAACTAGTAAATGCCATCTCTTGTTGATGTGACATGCTGTCTGCAGAAAGACGTCTCTGTTACAGCTAGTGTTCTCACTAGTGTGTGTGTTGTTGTTGTTCCTAATGTTCCAGATAGTGATCCCATCCTAGTTGACAGTAATCAGTGCATTGTAAGAAGTTATTTCTCGAGTAACTTTCACATGTTAAAGTTTGTAAGTGTAGTTTCTTTATAGCTGATACCTCGTGTCACTGTGTGCGACTCAGATTGAATATCAGCATTGTTCACCGTGTTCATTTCTTTTCTCCTGTGCTTGCAGTTGAGATAGTAGATTCGTTCTCCCTTGCTCATATTGCGTGTTATAGCGTTAATTTTTTTCAACCGGGGGGAGTCATCCACTCCACCGAGTTTGTTCTTTCCTCCAGTAAGGAAGAACTGATACCTTTATTCCAGAACAAACAGCTACTGGAAGGTTAGCCAGATGGACCTTGACTATCCAAGAGTTCAAATCCCACTTTGAAAATTTACCTGGCAAGTCAAATGTAGTCGCAGATGCTTTATCGCGACACGTTAGTGTAGTTACTGCAGATCCTCCATTTACTGTCGAGGATGTCAAAAATTCCCAAAGAACCGATCCCTTGTGTTCTGGTGTGATTCGACTCCTGCTCCAGGAAGATCTTATTCTTACTGTGAAGCCACCAGTACCCATTAGTGACTTTGTAATGAGCCAAGAATTACTGTATCGAATAGTCGAGTTGAGTACTCCTAGCAGACGAGTTAGTAATTCCACAGTCACTAGTGATTGTAGTTGTATCTTTTGTAGATACTCATTCAGATCTCTCTCAGTCAAGGCATGTGTTAGCCATTGCAGAGGAATTCGATCCTCCCAGAGATGATAACCATTCTGCATATGTAAACCTTACCCTCGCAGAATTGGGTTTAAATGTACATAGTCTGTATAATTAGATGTCCAGATGAATGAATTTGTCAACTGTGTGTTTTGTTATTAGCTGATCAGTTTGTCAGAAATTTTCGTGTTCACGTTCCCTCCGTATTCTGAGAAATTAACAGTCTAGATTTGTGTGCACCGAATCTGCCTTTCTGTTAAACACTTCTTTGTATATAATTATTCCTTCCTCAGAATCCGTAGAGTGCATGAATACAGATCGATCGATCAATTCCATCCATATTGTATAATGATTTGTTCTTATAGTTTGTAATGATTACGTTAACACCCATTACGTCAAAATCATGTTGTACCATCCATTAGTTCAAGTTATACATGAATTTGTTATTGTATAGAATCAGCCCAGATCCGCCTGCCTGTTCAGCCTATAGTATAGTAGTGTATGTCGGGACGACATACGTAACATGACCGAGCTGTCAGCATAGTTGCTGACCCTGTATTCCCAGTATTATATAGCATAGCATATTAGTATCATCCCTGTGCTTTAGACACGAGATCCCTCGTAGGCCTGGCTTTGTGTGATGTCATGGGGATACACATGGGCAGTGATCCCCCTGTCCCGCTCTCACTCGGCGGCAGACCTTAGAGGCGTGAACAGGCTAGACACCGGGCTCCATCTCTCATCTCAGTCTGACAATACATTTACCATCCTACAAGTGTGTCTACTTTCAACCTACGATATCTCCATTCAAGAACCCTCACGACTGACAACCTCAAAATTCTACGACTTCAAGGGTGATGGACTGATTACATCGTCTTCACATCTCTACTGTTCCTGCCTTCTTTCTGTATTCGACTGAAGAAGCCTACTGTGTAGGCGAAACGTTTCGGAATAAAGTTGCCTAACTGTTGCCTATGTGTCTTACCTACCAAAATATTTTGAACTACGTACTGTGTCTTATTTACTTGTCATTAAATTCTGCCATTAATATACAGAGGTCAATGACCGCTCGTCCTCCAGGCTTCCTCAGAGTGTGATAACATATCTAAGCCAACACTTCCTACTTGAGATATAACAATGCTGCTGATAAGCGTCCTGGCATCAGCCTGTACAGCACCTCTGCATCAGGTCATATCCATGTCCTCGTTCTGGGCAAGATTAGGTAGCGATATGGGGCTAAAAATACTGTCGGAATGTTGCGGCAACGTTGAGAGTGAAAGCGCGAGTGGGCACTATTTACACGGCACAAAAACACCATAGTGTTACTTGCTTTGTTGCTGCACGCTCACGTCACCACAGGTAGACGATTATTGTGCTTGAGTATTGTGGACTAGTATTGTACAATGGATGTGTTATATCAGCACGATGATGAGAGGAACGGGATACTACATATGTTGGCGACATAAAAAGTGAAAGTAAGAGAGATGTTTACGCTCATAGCATGAAAGGTGGAAGAGGGAAAGGATGTTTATGGTGGAGATAGGAATTGTGAGAGAGGGAAGAAGGAATGGGGCAGACGTGAGAATGACAATAGAGGGAGATGGAAAAGAAAAATGTCACTCCTGCCGCCTACCAGCCCACAGGTCGGCCTGACCTAGATACTGCGTAGTAGGTGATGAGGCAGCTAGCTGCTTCTCACTCAGTGTGAGAACACGGTGAGTTGTGAACCCCAGGTTGTCCTGCCTCGCTCTGTAATCTTCCTTTTCCCGAGTGTACCTCACCGCACTGTGTACACTACCACACAGTATCCCACTGCAAAGTGTACCTTGTCAGTGTATACTGCTTCACAGTGTACCCTGTCACAGTGTATACTGCCTCCCTGTGTACCACAGTGTACCCTGTCACAGTGTATACTGCCTCCCTGTATACCACAGTGTATCCTGTCACAGTGTATACTGCCTCACTGTTTACCCTGGCACAGTAGCCTATCAAATAATATACCCCATAACATCATATACCTCGCCACAAAGTGTATTCTATCAGTATAACCCATCGAATATAATGTATACAATGTATATAATGTATACTCGCAGTATCACAGTGAATCCCGCCACAGTGTACTCCTGTCACACAGTGCATTCTATAATTTGTTCTACTACACGTACATCCCACAAAACAAGTGTATCCCCACCACATGTAACTACCACTCAATGTCTCCACAGTGTACCACTTACACTTCCTTGACTGCTTAAAATATAATATAAATTATAAAATTATTATATAATATATATATTTAATATAATATAAATATATATATATATATATAAATATAATGGCTTAAATAGCAAAGCTTTCTTGCCGAATAAGGAAAACTAAAATTTCTGAATGCAATAAATTTTTCGCCAAAAAATCATTTGAACCTAATGAAAAAATGTATTTCTTTTGTATTTTATTATTAAATTATTGAAACTTATCTAAAATATAATTTAGTTGGGAAAGGGTTAATTAAATTGCCCTTTATAAAAAGTTAGGTAAGTTTTCTAACGCTCTTTTGGTACAAAATTTATTATTTTTTACATTAAAGAATGAAAAAATAATATCTTTAAATATGTTTAAAATTTAGAAAGGCTTATTTTAAATGAGTTCTTGCTAAGTGATAAGTGTTACCTATTCATGTTTCGAACCCGCGGTCGAAACATGAACAACTAGGAGGAAGAAACGGGAAAGCTCCCTTAATTTTTTCCCAAAGCCTAAAGTACACAAAAAGATATTCACTGGACCAGGGGTAAAAGGGAGTAGCTTCATTACAATTTAAGTAACAGATATGACAAATCCTTTGTTATAACTCAAATTTTTCCTTTGACTGAAATTGAAAGGCTGGCCCGGCTGTAGCTCATCCCCTTGAAAGGGTACAACTAACTACCTTTCATCTCTAAGAAACACCCACGGGCCAGGAGCTGTGAATCGAACCCCTGAAAACCACGAATGGGTGAGCAAAACACACAGGTCAATGTTTATCGACAAGTTAGTTTAAAGTACATCAACTTAAGAAACCCCTTAACAGAATTCTTTTCTATAGTTCATACAGAAAACAGTTACCCACACTTTAAATGATTGAAAGTACAGTATCCTCTTATATTGCATGAGAATTTTAATTTATCTGGCAATATCAGGGATTGTGACATAATTACACTAGTATAATACAAACATTCCTCAAAATTCATGAAACTGAAAATTCTTTCTTGAGTTGTCAGCTCATATGTTATTTATTTTTTTTCCACCAATGAGCTACGAGCGGTTATCTTGCCGTAGTTCTTGTCAAAGTCCAGTCTGAGGTATACTATCCCTTTCCTAGGATGAGACTCACAACAGGCGCCTAATACCCAGGCACATATTCACTGCTAGATGAACAAGGGCAATAGTGTAAGGGACTGCACCCAACATCACCACCTGCCCCACAATCGAACCCAGGACCTCCGGTTGTGAGCCGAAGGCGCTACCACAGACCAACGTACTTATTGTTGGAAATATATCCTGTTACACAGGATGTTAAAAATCGGGTATTATTATTTTATATATTATAAGTCCTTTATTTATTTCAAGTTATTTTATGCAGTAGCAAGTGACAAGCTACCGTCACCGTGACTGGACAAGCTTCTAGTAAAATATTTATTGTTTTACAAGCTTTCGACTGACTGATGTTGCAGTAGCAATGTTTAGATACATACATGATGATCAAGCTAAATGCAAAATACATGGTCAGACTTATGGCCACCTTTTTAAACACTATGTGCTTTATTGTCCCCTTTTTGGGAAATATAAAGGAAGACAGTATAGTAACCTGTGTATGTCAAGGTATCTTATTAATAAAAAATAAAATACCAGATATATTAAGCAAATACCCTAGATTTGCTTGTATCAACAGATAAGACAATTGTAGATATAAATCAAAGCTTCACTAGATGGAAAACATCCTACCTAAGCAGGACTTAATGTTGAGCACTCAAGCGAGGTTTCCACCAAGGAGGGATCTGTACCAAGAATCGCCTGAAGGACGAGGCTGAACTCTGGACGAGACCAGCAGATCTTTGCTTTCTGTGTGGGGGACGCTTCCCATGGCACCAAAACCAAGCTATAATATGGTTAAGTGTGGCTGCAAATATGGTGTGATTTACATGCAAGAAGCTTCAGCAAAAGTACACAAAGCGTTGCAACTCTAAATGTCAATAAGACATCCGAAAATTATCTACGTACACATGCAAGTCTAGTAACCAAATTTAATTAATGTAACACAGTGAGGACTCACATTGTTTTTGAAAAATTAGACACATGTGCAACATCTGGGTATCTTTATTGTAGATGTTTCGCCAGGCAGTGACTTTATCAATACAGATTCAAGGACAAAAACGGAAGACAGAAGAACTATGTAAAAGAGATGAGGTAATCAGTCCCAGTTGGTGTGAAAAGCACCGTAGTCGTGAAGGTGCTCTTCACACCAACTCCAAGGTTGAGGGACTGATTACTTCATCTTTTGTATATAGTTCTTCTGTCTTTCAGTTATGTCCTTGAATTTGCATTGATAAAGCCACTGGATGGCGAAACGTCAACAATAAAGATACCCAGATGTTGCACGTGTGTCTAATTTTTCAACTTGTCGGTATTGTATAACGTTCATGTACTACATATTTATTTTGGAGAACTGACTGTCTTGTACTGTTTACCATACATGTTCTGCTTGTCATGTACAGTAGCTACAAGTGTAATACACACAGTAACAGTACTCTTGTAATATATACAAAACCGAGGAGTTTCGTTTTATTAGTTTTATAAACATGAGTGATTATTTTTTCTTTATTTGATCCCTATAACATATTTAATAGTAAGATATATCAAAGTGCTCCAGAAAATTTGTTGCTTTTATCCGGAAAATCCCCGAATGTGAAGTTACCTCATTACTTGCTCTACCAACCTAATTACTCAAGGACATCACATTAGCTCGGAACAATTTTGTCCCCATCAACAATCTATAATGATATGCCTGTGGTATTGTCGAAGGAAGGCAGTGCAAAAAGCCAACCTCACTGCCCGCAGACATATCTAGGCCACACTCCAGACAAAATGGCATGGAAAGCAATGTTCGACTGGCAGAGTTCACTTCGTAAGCTACGCTGTGCAGTAAGCAGAGTTGTCCGGTTTGCGTCTAACCCAAAACAAGTAACGCAGATCATACGGAGATCCAGGAAATGATCACCAGATTCGACAAATTAGAGGTTGATCAAGGAAAATCATCAGGACTGCAATCTGATCCTCATAGGAAAGGACTATATCATGGAGTACAATTTGCAAGAGCATTCTTCCTTACCCGCGCCCAGGTAAAATGACAGCTAGTCTTAAAGGTGGAAAACCGTCAGCAGATGGAAAGAGCCCCGCTCCGGATACCTGCTTCTCTAACAGCCAATAATTGGTTATAATTATAACCATAATTTTTAAAGGGGTGGACGGGTTAGCCAGCGGAAGGCCTCAGTCAGACGACAGACGACCAAAAGCTCCAGCTGTGGGTCATCATATAACTAAGACACGTGTCAAGTAACACTTGTCCCGTTTAAAGACAAACCTTATACTTACCTAGGACACCTGCAGTCTGCCACAATACATTGTCAGCTCATCCCACATACGAGTCCGCCTGAAATACCGACCACGCCATCCACGGTCACTTTAAAACATGCTCGAAACACTGTGAAACTTTTCCTTCTACTCTTATGTCTTTAAGTGGAACTTCCCAGTATCTTCATGAAGGTGTTTCGCTAACCTGTTACTCAAAACCTTTTAGCATACGATAACCGTGACGTATGTAGTCATCCCTGCTGATTATGTGGGGGTTATACAGCTGTTCATGGCTCCGGCAACCATCGCTCAAATGGCCCAGACCAGACAATTTCAACTGAAAAATAAATATTATAGTAATAAGAAGTATTATAAATACACAGGAAAGAAAAGCTAAGTGTATACTGAATGTAAGTAGAATTTTTTAGACTTACTTGCTATCTTGTGTATTCATGAGACTAAATGAAAAGACAGTTTAGCAAGTATCCATAACCGGCCCTCCAGGGTCGGTGAAAGGCACAACTTCAGAGAGGAACTTAGTACGACGTCTTGCCTGTAGACAGACTCTTTTTGAGCGAAACATCTCGAAGTTACTCTCTGCAATTGTGCCTTTTTCATCACTTGTCAGCTTTGCGCCATTTGTCGCCTTCCTGGAGGGTTGCTGTCTACCAGTCTACTTCCTACTGTGTGTTCTTGTAGGAGACAGCCAGTTAGCTTACAAATATTTTGGTCTTCAGCTGTAGTTAAGGTAAGCAGAGGAAAGACGAGAAATCAGTAAAGACGCCGCCACTGTGAGAGGGAGGGGAGGAGGTCTTTAGTCAGACACAGGGCTAATAAGTGACTGTGTGTACGTCATAAACTGGTAGAAACCATTGTCGCAATTTGACACCAAACTGGGGAAGAGACAGACATTGACAGTGATTGGCAGTGAGCCAGTGACATACTATATTAAAGCCAGTGTAAAGGTTTCGACTGTGAGAGGTGAAATGATTTTGTAGAAGTTACTGAAGTGTAATTGTCGTCAATTAAGCTGCACTTTATTGCTGGTGTAATTTGTCATAGCCTCATCGAACACCGCTATATAATTAACATTTTGTAACAACAGAACAGCTATATCAACATTTGTACAGATGACTGGTTAAGAATAGCTGACATTTGTATAGCTAACTGGAAGCACAGCTGACACATTTGTATCAGATGACTGAAAGAATAGCCGACACATTTGTATAGATGACAGTTTAAGCATACTGACACATTTGTACAGGTTGACTATTAAGGCATAGCTGATACATTTGCATATAGAGCACCTTAACTATACCTGACACATAAACCAAGGGTTCTCCTAGGCTCTCAGCTCGTGCCCAAGCAAGAGAGAGTAACTCAATGACTAACGAGGTTCGTCTTTAACCGTAGGAGACGTGACGATGGCGGAGAACGATCAGGAAGCGTTACTGTTGAAGCAGGTGGAGGACATCACTGATGACTGGGTGGTGCGTCTCCTGCCTAATATCCATCACCTTCAGCACTACGACTACCGTCCCTCAGGTAGTTAAAACCCGGCCATGCATTGTGAAACTGTTTAAAAAATAAGCTCCTCAAATGACAGATAAATAAACGAATATGCTAATATTGTATAGCATGGAAAATAAGTTTTATTATATAATATACGAGTCATACCTCTGTTAATATTTTGAGTACCAGCAGCCTCGAAGAAGAGAAGGCACTGAGGCAAAAACCTCAACATTTCACCCTGAGACTGAGCATTTTCTTGCCGTACCATCCACTTTATTTTTCGGAGTAGTCATGTATTGCTTTAATAGATGTAACTGGACTGTGAATAACAAACATTCTCATAACACATCCATATAACAATATATACATTGTAGGAGCAAGAAACTAGTTGGGTCAGGCTCCATGACCGCCTTTACTCTAAGATCACCTAACTATTTAGAGAACTTGAACACTATTCTTACTTAAGCCAGCAAATGTTTGAGGATCTTCTGGATCTGCCTTCATGAAGGTGGAGAAGTTCTAATTTAAGAAAATAAACAAATTGTTTTAAAAAGAGTGCTATAAATTTGTTTCATGGTTTTAAGGGCACAAATATAGTGCGGGTAAACATAGATAATACAGTTTGTAGATACAGTCCAGGTGAACTAACGAAGTTAATATAAACGGAGCCATTGTCAGAACATTTCAAACAGTGAATGTTGCCGCAATATTCCAGCAAGGGAAACACAGGTAATATTGAACTTCAGGTATCCTTGACATGTATATTACTTAAGATAATGCATAAAATAATCAGAAGGAAAAAAGTGGTTTTATATAAAACAAAATTAGCATGGGTTTCATAAACCATTCTCGAGGAGGGGAAGTTTAAACTACATTTTTCTTGTGTTTTTCCTTGTCAGGTGTAGAACCTCGTCTTCACCTCAGGAAGTGGAGCAGAGAAGAGAGCTCTAACACAGACACCCTGGCCGGGTTCTCAAGCACGAGGGCCACTATCAGCGTCGAGTACGAGGTGGAAGGGGAGGTAGAAGGGGAGGTGGAGGGCGAGGGGGCGACGACAGCCAAGAGGCTGAGGAAGGAGTACTTCTTGGTGAAGGTGATTCCTACGGAAGGCCACATGGCGTAAGTGTTTGAATCCCATGTAGTAACATTGGTATCTTCACCCTTAAGACAGCCTTTCACGCTTTTTTCTCTCATACCTTATAAGCCTTTCATTCACGTTTTACGCCTCTGCGTACTTCAAGTGACGCCGTTCTAATTGTTTTCTCCTCTTCCTCCAAAATCAGTTTGAGTTTCTGTGCGATATCTAACTTGGGAATGCCTACTTCGATCGGATTCAAATTTTGAACACTGGCGGATCATACTCATTGCTATACTATCATGGATATGTATAAGAGATGTTACATGGAGGATTTTCCTCCCGTATTGGTTATTCAGAAGTATGACTAGCCACTATAGCAACTGCCATGAGGGTCAGTAATAACTGATCCCTCTGACACCTGTTATGACTGATCACTGTGACAGCAAGAATGATTCACCATATTAAAAGCAGCTGTGACTGACACCACTGTGAAAGCAGCATTGACCAGTGAGAGCGATACGACTGATCACTGAAAGCAGCAATGACTGACCACTCTGAAAGTTCGACTGACTACTCTGAGAGCTTATATTACTGACCACTCTGAAAGCTAGTATGACTGACCACTCTGAAAGCTAGAATGACTGACCACTCTGAAAGCTAGTATGACTGGCCACTCTGAAAGCAGCTGTGACTGACTATTTAAGGAGCCATCAGAGACTTCTGAAGAGGCAGCCGTCACCATCTCTCCGAGAAGCAGTTACCTGCGGCCACCACCACCAAGAAGACACCTGGTAGCAAATCCACCACGACCAAGAAGCATCCTCAGCCACTACCATCAAGAATCAGCAGCCTTCAGCTACTACCACTAGTTATTCAAGAAGCATCTTCTGCGACGAAGACGTAAAGAAGAGTTCTCCAACAAACACTCTGCCACCCGGCTCCTTCACGGGATGCTCTGGCTGACTCAGCAGCCACATTCATCCCAACACTTAAGAAAAAAAAAGAATCCTCATTCTTAAAGGAGGTAGAGGGTCTGGGAGATTGGGAGAGACGTGCAAGAGACAATGTTTCTCGTCCTCTCAGCAGTTTCACACACCCACGCTCCAGAATAAAAGAACCATCGTATTAATTCATGAAGGTAATTAGCAGAGACAAAGCTGGGTGAAGCTTGGGGCGGTGGACGGTGCCAGGCTCCAGCTTAGTCTCCCAACACACCACTTTGTTCATTTTATACACACTTGAATTTTTTGTTTACTGTTGCTTGTAACGAGGTGAAATTGCAAATTTTTCTCCTTGCATAATTCCACATCATTTTTACTTCATTTATATTCGGATCATTCTTACATATGATTTTTTATTCATTTAGGGATATACATTATTACAGTTTACTGCAACTAATGGAAGAGAATTTCCAAATAATTTCATATAATTCTCAGCCCCATGATCAGACTATTATCTACAGACTTCAGATATTGAAGACTATTTTTGAGAGAAACTATTTTTGGGCATAAGCACTCGACACCATTAATGTCGTTAACACACGTATAATACGGATTATCAACAGCCTGACTGATCAGAGACCGGACCGCAATTAGCAGGCGGAGGATCGAGCCTTCACCAGCCCTTGCACCGACGACCTACACAGATTTACGGCTTCATCAAGTAAAGTAAAGGTGTAAATATCAGTAGACTTTTGAACACTAACTTAAATAAAGGAAAGTAATGGTAATGTAAATCCCTAACACTTGCCACATGACAGTGAAGGGAGGGAAGGAATTCGACTCTAACACTGATAAAATAAACTTTCTGAATCCGCTTCTGCAATCACAGGGAAAATTGCTTTGAAAAACATACTGAGGCCAGCTGGAGCAGTATCCATGAGGCTGCTGACCTTCGTCACACTGACAAAGACCCTTGAAGTTTTTCTTCGTCTCCAGAGACTATCAAGTTGGAAAAGATTGAGCGTGTTGACCTATTTGTCAGTTTCAACACAACTGATTTTGAGCACGTTGACGCATGATTCAAAGCATCAATACAGCTAATTTTGAGCACGTTGACGCATGATTCAAAGCATCACAACAGCTAATTTTGAGCACGTTGACGCATGATTCAAAGCATCGCTACAGCTAATTCTGAGCACGTTGACGCATGATTCAAAGCATCGCTACAGCTAATTTTGAGCACTTTGACGCATGATTCAAAGCATCAATACAGCTAATTTTGAGCACGTTGACGCATGATTCAAAGCATCACTACAGCTAATTTTGAGCACGTTGATGCATGATTCAAAGCATCGCTACAGCTAATTTTGAGCACGTTGACGCATGATTCAAAGCATCGCTACAGCTAATTTTGAGCACTTTGACGCATGATTCAAAGCATCAATACAGCTAATTTTGAGGACGTTGACGCATGATTCAAAGCATCGCTACAGCTAATTTTGAGCACGTTGACGCATGATTCAAAGCATCGCTACAGCTAATTTTGAGCACGTTGACGCATGATTCAAAGCATCACAACAGCTAATTTTGAGCACGTTGACGCATGATTCAAAGCATCGCTACAGCTAATTTTGAGCACGTTGACGCATGATTCAAAGCATGCTACAGCTAATTTTGAGCACGTTGACGCATGATTCAAAGCATCGCTACAGCTAATTTTGAGCACGTTGACGCATGATTCAAAGCATCGCTACAGCTAATTTTGAGCACTTTGACGCATGATTCAAAGCATCAATACAGCTAATTTTGAGGACGTTGACGCATGATTCAAAGCATCGCTACAGCTTAATATTTTGAGCACGTTGACGCATGATTCAAAGCATCGCTACAGCTAATTTTGAGCACGTTTGACGCATGATTCAAAGCATCGCTACAGCTAATTTTGAGCACTTGACGCATGATTCAAAGCATCAATACAGCTAATTTTGAGCACGTTGACGCATGATTCAAAGCATCGCTACAGCTAATTTTGAGCACGTTGACGCATGATTCAAAGCATCGCTACAGCTAATTTTGAGCACGTTGACGCATGATTCAAAGCATCGCTACAGCTAATTTTGAGCACGTTGACGCATGATTCAAAGCATCGCTACAGCTAATTTTGAGCACGTTGACGCATGATTCAAAGCATCACTACAGCTAATTTTGAGCACGTTGACGCATGATTCAAAGCATCACTACAGCTAATTTTGAGCACGTTGACGCATGATTCAAAGCATCACTACAGCTAATTTTAGCACGTTGACGCATGATTCAAAGCATCGCTACAGCTAATTTTGAGCACGTTGACGCATGATTCAAAGCATCGCTACAGCTAATTTTGAGCACTTTGACGCATGATTCAAAGCATCAACACAGCTAATTTTGAGCACGTTGACGCATGATTCAAAGCATCGCTACAGCTAATTTTGAGCACTTTGACGCATGATTCAAAGCATCAACAGCTAATTTTGAGCACGTTTGACGCATGATTCAAAGCATCAATACAGCTAATTTTGAGCACGTTGAGCATGATTCAAAGCATCGCTACAGCTAATTTTGAGCACGTTGATGCATGATTCAAAGCATCGCTACAGCTAATTTTGAGCACGTTGATGCATGATTCAAAGCATCGCTACAGCTAATTTTGAGCACGTTGATGCATGATTCAAAGCATCGCTACAGCTAATTTTGAGCACGTTGATGCATGATTCATAGCATCGCATACAGCTAATTTTGAGCACTTTGACGCATGATTCAAAGCATCCAATACAGCTAATTTTGAGCACGTTTGACGCATGATTCAAAGCATCGCTACAGCTAATTTTGAGCACTTTGACGCATGATTCAAAGCATCAATACAGCTAATTTTGAGCACGTTGACGCATGATTCAAAGCATCGCTACAGCTAATTTTGAGCACTTTGACGCATGATTCAAAGCATCAATACAGCTAATTTTGAGCACGTTGACGCATGATTCAAAGCATCAATACAGCTAATTTTGAGCACTTTGACGCATGATTCAAAGCATCGCTACAGCTAATTTTGAGCACGTTGACGCATGATTCAAAGCATCAATACAGCTGATTTTGAGCACTTTGACGCATGATTCAAAGCATCGCTACAGCTAATTTTGAGCACTTTGACGCATGATTCAAAGCATCGCTACAGCTAATTTTGAGCACTTTGACGCATGATTCAAAAGCATCGCTACAGCTAATTTTGAGCACTTTGACGCATGATTCAAAGCATCGCTACAGCTAATTTTGAGCACTTTGACGCATGATTCAAAGCATCGCTACAGCTAATTTTGAGCACGTTGACGCATGATTCAAAGCATCAATACAGCTGATTTTGAACGTGTTGTCGCAAAATTCAAAGTTTTAAAATAGACGATTTTGATTTCACGAAGGAAGCATATTCCTGTGTAATAGTATTAATATCGAAGAGAGAGAGAGAGAGAGAGAGAGAGAGAGAGAGAGAGAGAGAGAGAGAGAGAGAGAGAGAGAGAGAGAGAGAGAGAGAGAGAGAGAGAGAAATACGTGTTTTACTGTACCAATGAAATATAAACAATAGACAAATTTAAATCAGGAAATGTACAGGTATGTGAGCACGCGCCCACCTCCCCACACAACATCCAACCCCACCCCAATAAACACATTCTGATGCACATTTCGCCCTTCGTTCCAGTACGCTGGATGCCCTTCGTTCCAGTACGCTGGATGCCCTTCGTTCCAGTACGCTGGATGCCCTTCGTTCCAGTACGCTGGATGCCCTTCGTTCCAGTACGCTGGATGCCATTCAAATAATAATTCCATTTACCGATAACAGCGACAAAGACAGAGCGGTAAAATAAAATATAATAATAACGTCAGCAGACTTCGGTATGCCCAAGCGGTCACCCATCCAGGTATTATCCAGACCCAGTGTTGCTTAAACTCTCTTGAAAACCTTCAGAAATGTGTTGACGTCTGAGGGAATGCACCACGCTGAGGTTGATCACTACGGTCGCTTCTTGCGGGCGCTGCGGGCGTGGGAGGCGGAGCGACGGAGCGGCGTGGGCGTGATAGCAGAGATAGTGCCCGCCCACGCCCTTGCTGTCAGCACAGAGAACCACTTCACCCTCGTCTTGCCTGACATCACTCATCTGGGCTACCAGGTGATTTTTATTATTATTATTATTATTATTATTATCATTACAGGTATGAAAGGTTTAGGTGAATCATTGTTACAACAACGCACAAAAGTCTCACAATACCCCCACAAAAATCCCACGATACCCCCACAAAAGTCCCACAATACCCCGACAAAAATCCCTAAATACCCCCACAAAAATCCAGCGATACCCCCACAATACTCCCCACAAAAATCCCACAACACCCCACAATATCCCAACAAAATCCATCAATACCCCCACAAATATCCCACAATACCCCCACAAAAATCTCAACACCCACAATATCCCAACAAAAATCCACAATACCCCCACAAAAATCCCACATACCCCCACAAAAATCCCACAATACCCCACAAAAAATACCACAATACCCCACAAAAATCCCACAATACCCCCACAAAAATTCCTCAGTACCCCCACAAAAATTCCTCAGTACCCCCACAAAAATTCCTCAGTACCCCCACAAAAATCACACAAAAATCTCGCAATACCCCCACAAAAATCCCATAATAACCAACGTCACCAAAGGTCAATCACATCCCAACGCAACACTCAAAAAACAAAAAAAAAAAAAACCAGAAAATTAGCTATAAGGAAATATACGAATGATTAAAAATGTTGTGGAGGTGAAAGGTTATCAGCAGTTACTGGACACAAAAATAGGAGCTGCCTCTTGCTTTGATGATTAACTCAAACTTTTCTTCTAACTTGAGTGAGTGGAGGTTTTTGTGCACCCTGATGAGTGCACTAGTATTATACCTGTTGAGTGCACTGTTTCCTCTCTGTTGAGTGCACTATTTCTTCTCTGTTGAGTGCACTGTTTCCTCTCTGTTGAGTGCACTGTTTCCTCTCTGTTAAGTGCACTGTTTCCTCTCTGTTGAGTGCACTGTTTCCTCCTAGTTGAGTGCACTGTTTCCTCTCGTTAGTGCCACTGTTTCCTCTCTGTTGAGCACATATTCCTCTTGTTGAGTGCACTGTTTCCTCTCTGTTGAGTGCACTATTTCCTCTCTGTTGAGTGCACTGTTTCCTCTCTGTTGAGTGCACTGTTTCCTCTCTGTTAAGTGCACTGTTTCCTCTCTGTTGAGTGCACTGTTTCCTCTCTGTTGAGTGCACTGTTTCCTCTCTGTTAAGTGCAACTGTTTCCTCTGTTAGAGTGCACTATTTGCCTCTTGTTGAGTGCATGTTTCCTCTCTGTTGAGTGCACGTTTCCTCTCTGTTAAGTGCACTGTTTCCTCTCTAGTTAAGTGCACTGTTTCCTCTCTGTTAAGTGCACTGTTTCCTCTCTGTTAAGTGCACTGTTTCCTCTCTGTTAAGTGCACTGTTTCCTCTCTGTTAAGTGCACTGTTTCCTCTCTGTTAAGTGCACTGTTTCCTCTCTGTTAAGTGCACTATTACTCTCCCCACCACATGAATACAACAATTTCACCCATGTTAATACAACAATTTCACCCATGTTAATACAACAATTTCGCCCACATGAATACAACAATTTCACCCATGTTAATGCATTTTTCCTTAGTAGATACAATATTGTGGATATGTTAATCACTCTCCAGCAATAGCACCCAAAAAAACTTTAATTTAATAAAAAAAAGAGACATCAGTAGTGTGCTGCTACATTGTTCTGTATGACAGTTACACAGTGGGAACAACACTGTGTTTCCTTGTCACATTTCATCACCTAGGATGATGGGCTCATGTGTTGAGCTCTGACAGCCAGAGCTGAGGAAGACACTTATGTGCCACATTCCTTCACCATCAGTCACACTGTGAGGTGTAGTTCCCTCTGTGTAAATATGCTGAGAGTTCATTTTAATCCCTATTTTAGGGGTTAGAGTATTCTTGTCTAAGGATCAAGAGGTTATGTGCAGCCGTAAGAGGCACATAAGTTCCCCAGTCTTTTAATAACATGTTCATTTTTCCACTATAATCTACCTGAGCCTTGCTCAGGTCTTGCCAACACAATTGTCCTCAAAGATTTGTTAAGTTATACCATAAATTAAGGGAAGATCCTGGACTTCACCTTACGAAACAGACAAGTCAAATGCGATAGTAATTATGGACAAGGTAGATTATAGTGGAAAAATAAACATGTTATTAGAAGACGGAGGAACTTACGTGCCCCTTAATGACCCTCATATAGCCGATAGGCTTTCAATCCCATTAACCAACCAACCACCATTCACAACGTCAGGTTATACCACTTGGGATCTCTAACACTTCTGGCTTGCAGATGAACACCGTCGAGGAAGGAATGAGTGAGGAGCAGGTGTTAGTAGTAGCCAGCAAGATAGGCAACTTCCATGGCACTGTGGTAGCATACAAGGTCATCACTGACACCAACCTGCAAACAGCGTTCCCCAGATGCTTCCACCAGCCCAGAGTCGACAGCCAATTATTCTCAGTCTTCGCCAAGGCAGGCTTCGATAGGTAAGAGGTAAAGAAGGGATAGGAAAGTGAGATCTAGAGTCTGCACGAGAATCACTCTTCTGTATCTGATTACATATTTTGGGTTATTTGGAATTATCTACCAGCAGCAGCAGCAGCAGCAGCAGCAGCAGCAGCTGTGTCCCGTCTTCAATATTTTAATCTGCTATATAACTTTAAACAATTTCCATGAATCTGTAACACTTCCTTCCCTTGTAACCTGTTACATTGTTCTACTTCACCTTGTAACCTGTTACATTGTTCTACTTCACCTTGTAACCTGTTACACTGGTGTATCACCTGTGAAAAAAAAAATTCTGCCCTATTTTTCACATTTTTCAAAAGATGTCTCTTCTCCCTGTTGCCGAGGCTAACACGAATATTTTACCTCACGTGTCCAATTACTTGTATGTCCTTACGGTTAACACATCTCCTGTCCTATCATCCAACGGGGATATTTTTTTTGGTGTCCTCAGCCTTTCTTTGTGATGTGCTTGTGCGTAAATGGCTGAGGTGAGGTGTGTGGTGTTGCAGGCTACGGCAGGAGTGGTCTGGAGAGGCTAGATTGAGCCGCATACTGGAACTGCTAGAGACCTACGAGGCCATTACTGATGTGTTTGTGGTGTCGAACCTGAAGCCTCTGGAACCGTTCGCCACGGCCCTGCACGGAGACCTCCAGCCCTCCAACATATTCTTCAAACACAACTCACAAGGACAACTCACTCTCAAGGTAAAGTTTCACGTCTCTTTCATTTATGTTTTTGTATTTTTATTTTTATT